AAAAGAGAATCCAAAATATGAGAACAAAATTATGAGACTGACCCTTGGAATTAACTAGTGAAAAAGACATTTTAAGGAGAGCAAAGGAGCATGAAGAATCTTGTCAGTAAAATCTTTTATTTGGTTTATATTTCAAGTGTAATTTAAAAAGTTTACAAGCCAGGAAATTTGATAATATGAAAGCAAGGAGAAACTAAGCTAGATCATTTAGCTAAGCTCAGGGACAAGATTCATTTTTTTAAAAATCAAAAATTTGACTTTTTTCTTGCCATTAATTGCGCTTAAATATATCCATCATATTTCAGCTGCAAAAGATGGTGAAGAACTCAAGCTGAAGAGGTGTCTGCTGATTTTTGTTGCTTCAATCAGAACTTTTCACCTATAAAGGACATACAAAGAATAGTTTTGAATTTTCTCAATGTACTTTTGTATTTTTAAATAAACTTTTAATTGCAGAATAATTTTTGATTTATGGAAAAGTTGCAAAGATAATACGGAGAGCTCTCATGTATACGGCACCCAATTTTCCTGTTGGTCAACATCTTACATTACCATGGTAGGTCTGTCACAACTAATGAACTTATACTGATGCATTCTTATTAATCAAAGCCCATACTATCTTCAGATTACTCAGTTTTTACCCAATTATTTTTTTCTGTTCCAGTATCTCATCCAGCATGCCACATTACAGTTAATTGTCACATTCTCTTAGGCTCCTCTAAACGGTGACAGTTTCTCAGCCTTTCCTTGTTTTTGATGGCCTTGACAGTTTTCAGGAGGAGCAGTCATGTATTTTGCGGAATGTGCCTCAGTTTAGATTTGTCTGATGTTTTTCTCGTGGTTAGAATGAAGTTATGAGATTTTGGGAGGAAGACCACAAAGGTAAAGTGCCACTCTCATCATATCAAATCAGGGGTGCAAACTATCAATATGACTTATTACCAGTGATGGTGACACTGATTACCTGGCTCAGGTTGTTGTGTCAGGTTTTCTCCACCATGGAGTTGCTCCATACAGTCTAGAGAGTTTACTTTTCATATTGTACTTTTTGGAAGGAAGTCACTATGCAAACCCCCACTTCAGGGTGGGGAATCATTCTGATCATCTTGAGTGAGGAATATCTACATAAATATTTGGAGTTCTGAATGTGAGTTTTGTCTCTTACCCCATACAGAAACCCTCCTGCTACTTCTTCGCTCTCAAAATTCCCAGTTCTCCCTGCTTTCAACACATACCCTTTTTCTCAAATTTCAAATTTTATTCAATCATTGATGTCAGTATAAACTCCTAGATATTTTACATTTCGGGTTATAATCTAACACAACCGTATTTTGCTCCTTGAAGTGCCCCAGTTTGGACTATGGGGAGATTTTCCAGTTGGTTCCTATGTCCTTCGTCTCAATCTATTTTCACATAAATCATGTTATTCTTTGCTCCTTCTCTCTTGTTTCTCCCCATTTCGATATCTGCATATCTAAGGTTTTATTGCCAGTGAGTGATGTAGGGTCCAGGCTGACGAGGAGGAGGCAGGATTGCCAAGGTATTTTACTTCAAACCCATCTAAAGATTCAGTGAGATATTTTCCCTGAGGTCAAAGAAAACATTTGGGCTACCAGGACTCATTATTATGAATGTGTGGGTAGATATTTGATCCAAATTGTTTCATGTATTTATTTAAGTAAACAGTGTTGGAATGGTCTAACTCCACATCTTTGCTCTGGCCTCATCCTGTACAGTTGGTACTATATACTATTATTAGATTAATATTTATTTTTAAAAAATTGTACTTATTTTTATTTTTACTTTTTAGTAGAGATGAGGTCTCGTGTTGCCCAAGATGGTCGCTGGTGGTGAACTCCTGAACTCAAGTGATCTTCCTACCTTGGCTTACCAGAGATTACAGGCATGAGCCACCAGGCCCAGCTTTAGATTCATATTTCTAAAGTGTGGTTCTATTCATTTACTTCAAGCCTGCAATAACTTCCTAATTCCTACCAAGTCATTAGCTTAGTATTCATGACATTGCGTGCTAAGTCCCCAGCTCACTTTTAAAAATCTTTTATTGTTTGTTATTTTTCTACTTATGCCATGTGTTCTAGCCACCTTGGACCTAAGATCATAGAGATATTTTATCTTTTTTTTTTTTTTT